GGAAAGACAGGCAAAGTGTAGCATGGTCAGAATGCCTGAGGGCTGCCCTTAAGAGGGCAAGGTGTGAAGATGTGAGAAGGAAGCCAAAGCCACAGTAGAGACCCCAAGATTAAGAGAGGCCAGTTTTATGGGATGTCTACTGAGGAAAGCTTCAGGAATCAAGTAGAAACGAGCAAAGAGAGAGGCCATTTGGGCTGCAACCAGCATGCCCATACGGACAGAGCTTTACAGACCCTTCGGAGAGAACATCATGATGCATGTGCCCCAGATGCTGAATGTGGAACTATAGTTGCTCAGCTGAGTTTTGGTCTTGCTTTGGTCCCATCTCTTCTATGCCCCTATTTTTTCTTTATGCAATAGAAAAGTTTACTCGGTGCCTTTATATATTGGATACATGTAACTCACTTTTGAGTTTCATAGGGGAAAATATTTAAGAGTTTGCCTTGAGTCTCAGATGAGATTTTGGACTTGGACTTTTGGGCAATCCTGGAACTGGTAAAACTACGAGAACTTTTTAAAATGGAGTAAATGTGTTTGTGCATTTTGAGATGGGCATGAGCATCTGGCAGTCAGGGGCAGAATGTTATGGTTTAGATATTAAGTGTTCCCCAAAAGCTCATGTGTGAAACAATGCAAAAAAGTTGAGAGGTAAAATGATTAAGTTCTAATAATTTAAAACCATTCAGTGCATTAATCCACTGATAATAACTGGGCATTAACTGTAGGTAATGTGGGGAGTGGCTGAAGAAGGTAGGTCACTGGGATGTGCCTTTGGGATTTATATTATGTCCCTGGTGAGTGGAGCTCGCTCTCTTTGCTTTCTTTTTGCTGTATCCTGAGCTGCTTTCCTCGATCATGCCCTTCTGCCATGATGTTTTGTCTAACCTCAGGCCAAGAGCAATGGAGTTGGCCATTTATGAACTGAGATCTCTGAAACTATGAGCCCCAAATAAACTTTCCTCCTCTAAAAAGAAAAACAAATCCACAGTGCTAGCTAATTAAATAAATATGCATATTTGTTCTTGCGGAATGCATAGTATTTATGAGATATTTTTATTTAAATAGAAAAATGTAGATCAGTATGGTTTGGTTGATGTGTTGTTTTCTTTTTCTTTTTTAGTATTTATTTTTTAGTTTAAAGTGAAAACAATATCTTTATTTTACATTTATGGGTGTTGTAAGGATGAAACCCAGTGCCTCATGCATGGTAGGCGAGCACTCTACCACTGAGCCACAATCCCAGCCCCTGATGTGCTGTTTTCTAATTTAAAATAGCACAGCAAAAATATTCTCTAAATACCCATAAATAATCCATCAAGTAATAATTTCATATGAACTATAAAGCAACTTTGAAAAATCAAAAGAAATCATGTCTTCTAAAGAAATTAAATGACAAGTCACATTATTTTACATACTTTGTTTCTGTCACATACTTTCTTAAAATACAATCTATGAATAAAAAATGCACATAAAAATAGGTATTAAAAGAGTCAAACAAAATCTAATTAATGTAATCTGCTCTTAAATAAACAATGGGAAATGGTAATTTCTTGCATATTCATCTACCCACCAACTATTTATTTATGGAATGAATGTGGGGTGCTTGATCAATGCTGTTCCTTTGAAATAAATTTTAAGGCTTCCATAATTTAAATACTGTAAGATTTGAAAAGTACCTTAAGAACTGAAACAAGAAAGGACTAGGGATGCTGGGGTACATTTCAGTGGTAGAATGCTTACCGCTAAGCTGGGCTTGAAGCCCTGGGTTTGATCCCCACTACCACCATGAAAAACATTTTTTGTCTAAAAAGAAATGAAACATGTGAGAGTTTGCTTACACAAAGAAAGATCTGTCCTTCATGTTATTTTACAAGGGAGGTGGAATTTGGCTTCACTGGCATCTGCACATCTGGAGGTTGAACAGACTGGCATTGCCCTATGTGTACAGAGATGTTAATCTTCAGCTGACTCTAAAATCCAAGACAAATGTGAAAACAAGAGGCGCTCCTTATTTTTAACAGGTGAAACTTGAAGTTTAGGCATTTAACATAGGGTAAAAATTAAGTTCAGTAACACTGGTAACAAAAGGATAGCGGGCTGCAGCCAGGTACAGTGGTGTACACCTGTAATCCCAGCAGCTTGGGAGGCTGAGACAGGAGGATTGCAAGTTCAAAGCCAGCCTCAGCAAAAGTAAGGCACTTAGCAACTCAGTGAGACCCTGTCTCTGAATAAAATACAGAATAGGGCTGGGGATATTGCTCAGTGGTTGAGTGCCCCTGAGTTCAATCCCAGGTACAAAAAAAAAAAAAAAAAAAAAATGTATATATACACACACACATACACAAACATATATATATATATATATATATGTATATATATATTAGCAGGCTTCCTCTTGTGTCTTTGGTCTGTCTCTGTGGTTGGCCCCTATCATTTAGAGCATTTTTTCCCAGGATTTTTTTCAATATGACGATCATCTTCAGGGCAAACACGTATATCAGACTCTAGTTCTAGTGGTACATATTTTATTCATTTATATACACGTATCCTTCACCTTTTGTGCTCTTTGTCACTGCATTCCTACCAACACCATTTATTACAACCTCACACATTTACTCTGTTCCCAATTTATTTGTAGATAAAAAACTTGTACTTGGCACATATCAAAATTCAGTTGTTCTTAGTGCCCAGAAATTAAATATTCCTCACTGTAATAAAATACTTTTCTTCATCTTTTGGGATATAATTTATGTTCATTTAAACCCACAATGAGAACACTTCTTAGACAAATATAATACCCAAGGTTCATGTGGTAATGACTGAAGTGCTCTGTACTTCTTAGCACAATAAAATATATCTGTAAAATGAGGAAAGCCAAAAAATATTTAAGACAAAAACAGAACACCACATATTCTAATCATACAACAGATCAACAGAAACTTTTCAAAGTAAGTTTTCGGTGAGGTTTTTTATTCTGAATGGACCAAGAAAAAATAATTCGAAAAATCTGTATTTTTTGTTGTAGTAAAAACATTAACATAAAATTTATCATCTTACTGAAGGTATACTGTACACATGTACTCTTTGTCTTAAAGTTACCTTCTCACAGAAAATTTATAAATAATGTTTAGAAAAAGAATTATTTATTATAAGAAGAATGATCTATCTCAATTTATTGTGAGATCATCGACAATTGCTTTTAATGCTCAAATGTCAAGACCCTGGAAGGCAGGAATACACTTCATAATTAAGTATGTGGCACTATATTTGTTCAAGTGGAAATCATATATTTCCTCAATACCTGAATTTTAAAAAGTATTCCTTTAGAAAAAGAACTAAATATTAACTATTTTTCTTTAAAATCTTTCCTCATATTTTCACTAGTTTGTGCCTAGTATTTAAATAGCATTTATCCTCACTTGCTGCATAAAAATGAAACTTGGTCATATTAGAGGCAGGACATAATTCACTCCAAATTTTCAATGAACAAAGTTCCATGGCTGCTGCTTATGTAGGAGATAGGGAGTGAGGTGGTGTTATGAAATTACCAATATGAAATAAATGCTCAACGAGGCCTCGGCAGCAGTTATCAGGAAAACTACTCAGTTCTGTGATTTTTTTTTTTTTTTTTCCCTGTGTGTGTGTGTGGATTGAACCCAGGGCTTTCTGTAGACTAAAGGGAGCCTATAATCTTTTATTTGAGCCATTTAAATAGGGGTTTTATTATTATTTTTTTTAGGTTTTCTTTAGTTGTAGATGGACACAATATTTCTATAAAAATTATTCATTTTTATGTGGTGCTGAGGATCAAACCCAGTGTCTCACACATGCAAGGCAAATGCTTGACCACCAAGCTACAGCCCCAGTCCTATTATTAATTTTTTTTAACTCCACAATAATTTCTAGAGTTTACTGAAAGTTCAAAAACTAGAGAAGATAAGTTTCCTTAATGTATGCCCTTTTTTTTTCTTTCTTTCTTTTTTTTTTTTTAAAGATACAGTCTCCCAATGTTGTCATAGCTGGCCTCAAATTCCTGTGCTCAAATGACCCTCCTGCTATAGCCTCTTGTGTAGCCATGCCTATAGGCACATATTTCTGGCCTGAAAATACATGACTTCTTTTATCAGTTTTCTACTAGAAAAGAAGTACTTTTATAACTTGATTTGGTTTTATTGTCATTTTCTCCATTATATTTTGCTTTCTATAAACACTTCATTTCCAGAAATGAAGTAATTAAAATGTTACACTAAGTCAATTAAAACAGAAATGCTAGATTTAAGTTCTAATTTGAGGACTGGGCTGGGGATGTAGCTCAGCGGTGCAGCACTTGTCTAGCAAGTATGAGGCACTGGTTTGATCCCCAGAACCTCTTAAGCTCTCTGACCAAAATTACAATAAATCTCACATTGGGAAAACATCTACTAGCAAGTAGAGGAGTCCAATGTGTCCTTCCTCAGAAGAGCATGAACACTGAAAAGCCACAGAAGGTCTGCAGTGCTGGAATACAAATTCCTTTGTCATCATTACAAAAATTTAATTTTCATCTATTTGGTATAACCAAACCATTCTATATATTCCACATAATCATCTTTGAAAAGAAGCATAAGCCATTTTGGTTTTAGAAAATTAAGTTCAAAAGAAAGGTACTAAAAAAAGTCATACCGATGAATAAAATTTGTATTGCTTTTTGTAAACCACTCCATGAATTTTGCACTGTAATTCTTTTTTTCTTTTTTGAAAGTAACTTCCACACTTTGAGTGTTCTTTGTCTTCTTGGGGGCGATTTTCTTTTCTCCACAAAATCTTAAGGACGTTGTACCAGTTTACTTTTACTTCCCTCCTGTTCACTGAGTTTAAAGTGGGTATAGGCAAGAATGCCAAATAATGTACATAAAATGCCAAGACCCTGATTAATTGATAGTGGATCTTTAAATAAAACATATCCTCCACATAATGTAATGCAGAACTTGAAGTGTCCAAACATGTTGTAGCTGAGGTTTTTGGATAAGGATAAAAAGGAGTAATAAGCTAGATATTAGGCACATACACACAACAAAGGCGTCCGGTGGCTGGAAACAATGCCACGAAACCCAGACTAAACAGCAGCACTTATCTAAGGAACTTTAGTGAAGTGCTGGGTCAGTTCTAGTTTCTTCAGGTAGGTTTTAGCAACTTAAAAATGACAAGATGGTGACACCGTGCTCTTCTGAGCAGGTCCTAAGGAACACACACACACACACACACACACACACACACACACACACACGACTTTCTCATCTGTTCCTGTTGACCTTTTCAAAGAGCAAAGGGCTAAAATACAAAGTTAGGAATGAAATTTAGAACAAGGTACAGAGAGGATCTTTTGTACAACATTTTTATGGTTATGTTGCATAGTGGCATTTCTAATAAACTTTCCCTGGCAAATGAGGTGAGATGCGGAAGGTGCCAAGGAGCCAACTCCTTGTAAACACTTTCAGTATGCTTAAGGCTAGGAGGAAAAAGGGCAGGAGGGAGTGATACTATATGCCAACCATGCCACACTAGGCATTTTACGTTAACACCTTTTGCGCACATTTCCCTTCACTGCACTCCCACTCCCCATTTTACAATTGCAGAGGTGCAGGGACTTTAAGCATCTTGCTTGAGATCAAAGAGCTTAAGTGGCAGAGTCAGCATCCAAACACAGATGAATCTCTTTAACTCCAAGTCCATGCTCTGATCTAGTATACTGCCAGTAACTTACAGTGGAATTAAGGTTTTTCCAAGTCATTCATATAAAATCCATGTGCTGGCTCCAATGCTTTAGTTTTAAATTTCTTTACTCCCCCAGCCTCTCTTAACCAGTTCATGATATGTTAAAAATATTTATAAAGGGAAGACAAACTTAAACTCTTCAGTGTCGCTCTTTATAAATTGGAAGAGAGAGAGAGGGAGAGAAAGCACAAGCACACAGTCTATCTCTGGTATTTCTAATTCTTCCTTTCCTCTCTCAATCCTCCACTCTGCTGCAGTCAGGCTTTGCACCCACTACCCAGAATGCCCCTGCCAGTGTCCTCCACTTCAGTAAGCCCACTGATCCATTATTAGCCTTCTGTGTACTTGACCTGTCAGTGACAACTGACCCAGTAGTTAACCTCTTGTCCTTTGCCACTCTCCTTCCTTCCACCTAGTTCCTCTCATTAAACACTGTAGTGCCCTGGGATTCAATCTTTGGACATGTTTTTCTACTTGTTTGCTTAGTAGTCTCAACCAGGCACCTATGCACTCCAACTATGTGAAATACCCCTGGCTGAGACTTTTTCCTTGAACCCTCAGTTTATCCAAAATTAAGCACGTGACCATTTTCCTCATCTCAAGCATCCTCTGAGCTGTCCTGTCTCAGCCACCTTCATATCATCCAAAACCATGTAAGTCAACCTTGTTTCCTCATTCTCCACATCCAACTGGTCAGCAAAACACACTGGCTCTACTTGGAAATACATCCCAAATCCAATCATTCCCACCATTCCACTGCTACCACACTAGTAATAAATTACAATTATTTCTAAATTAGAATACTGCAGTAGCCTCCTGTCAGTTTCCCTTCTCTCCTAGCTCTTTCAGTCCAGTGGTTCTTAACCAGGATGATTTTGCCACATGAGCCATGTCTGGAGACATTTTTGGTTGCCACAACTGAGGGCTGGGTGTGCTACTGGCAGAGACTTGGCATGCTGCTAAACAACCTGCAACATACAAGACAGGCTTCCACAACAAAGCACTGTCCAGCCCACAATGTCAACAACCCTGATGTCATCTTCTCGCTTCAAACTCTGATGGCTTCCCAGCTCATTCAGAGTAATAGTCCTTATGTGGAGGTCCCATTCAGTCTGGTTCTGTTACCTCTCAGCCCACCACATCCCCTCCTCTGCACATGCTTCTCCATGCAGGTATCCCTGTTTCTCGGGCCTCTCACCTGCTGTTGCTTCTGCCTGGAATGTTCTTCTCTCCCAATCTGCATGGAGCAACCTCATTTCCTTCAGATCTTTACTCAATCACCTTCCTGTAGAGGCCTTTTGACTACCCTTCCTAAAACTTCAACCCTGTCCCCAACATTTCACATCCACTTTCCTGCTTTCTCTTTTCTCCTTGGCACTTAACACTACCCAACACTGTGTATGCATATTTAAAAACTTTATAGTCTGTATATAGTCTGTATTCCTAACTAGAATTTAAGCCTGAGGAGGCAAAGATTTTCATCTGTTTGGTTCATTACTGTATCCCCAGTGGCTGGCATATAGTAGACCTTTGGTATGTAAGTATTTATTAAGTCAATGAGTGGTTTATAGTGGGTATTCAATAAATATTTGTTGAATGAAGGAAAGTCTTTAATTAGGACACATTCTTGGGTACCTTGATTTGGCAACATGATCCACATGTCCACATGCGACTAGACTGTATGAGTTCAAATCTGGACATCACACTTCTCATCTGTGTGGCCTTAAATGAGTTATTTAACCTCTCTGTACCTGCTCCTTTGTCTGTAAAATAAAATAATAGAATGCACTTTAAAGAGCTGCTGTGAGAATTAAATGGACCAATATACACAAAATGTATCTAATAGTATCTGGTATAAATATTTATTAAGGATTGTTTTTTTAAAAAAGTGTAATTATTGTTATTTATTGATAGCAAATTTGCTATTTATTTTATTCTGTTGATATCTCAGTATTTATTTATTTGTATAAATCAGTATATTCTGATAAAACAATACTAAACTACTTCTATGATCTGGATTTGCATTTGCCTAAGTGGGGCAGAATGAAATACAAGAGAAACAGAATGACAAGCTGCATGGTGAAAATGGGCAGCTGAATTTGACCTTCAACAAATGACTTCATTTTTAAAATAAATTTTCAAAATAAATTTTTAAAATATTGAAAACAGTAGACACACCCATACGAAATAAGTACAAAGACACACTGTCAAATCAGCTGCCAGGAGTCTAAAATTAACATCTTTTGTTACATGGGTTAACCACACCTCTATTTTATTATTGAAAACTAATTGAAACTCAAGCCTCCACCCTGTTATTCATTCAACAAATATTTAAGTCCACTATCTGCAAGGAATGGTACTCTTAAGTTAATTTTTGTAAGAGAAATAGTCACCAATTACTGAAAAAAATTCAAAAACATTCATGCTATAGCAAGTGAACTCATTTCCTCAGTTCTTATTTCTTTAAAGTTCTAAAGACTCTAGTAGTGAAATAAACAGAAAAAGATTAAAAATAACCAACACTACTCAATTTAGGACATGCATATATTGTTAGTATAAGACTCAAATAAGGTAGTGAATGTGAATTTTGGAAACATAAAAGACTACACATTTGTAAGTTATTGTTGAAAGGATACGTGACTGGTGAAGTGTTCCCAATGATCCAATAAATGGATAAGTTCACCATGAAAGCTATTACTCCAGATAGCAGCACCATAAGCTACAAATGAATCAAAAAAATCATTAATGTGAAGCACTGCACTATAATCAAGTAAAAATACATTTCATTAGGCATTTTAAAAACTCAAGTATCAGGCTGGGAGATAGCTCAGTGGTGGAGCACTTGCCTAGCATGCACAAGGCCCAGGTTCAATCTCCAGCACCAAAACAACAAACACCCCTCAAATATTAACCATTAAAAACAAAGATTAGAAAAAGAGAATCAATTTGGGAGACTACAAAAATTGAGAGTAGCCAAACACAGAGCCTATAATTTCAGCGACCTGGGAGGCTAAAGCAGGAGGATTGCAAGTTCAAGCCAACGTCAATAACTTAATCATGTTCTAGGCAATTCAGCAAGACACTATTTCAAAATAAAAAATGAAAAGGGCAGGTGCAGTGGCGCAGGGGAGGCTGAGACAGGAGGATCATGAGTTCAAAGCCAGCCTCAGCAACATCAAGGTACTAAGCAACTCAGTGAGACCCTGTCTCTAAATAAAATACAAAATAGGTCTGGGGATGTGGCTCAGTAGTTGAGTGCCCCTGAGTTCAATCCCTGGTACCAAAAAAGAAAGAAAGAAAGAAAGAAAAGGGCTGGGGATGTGGTTTCAGTGGTAAAGTGACCCTGGCTCAAATTCCAAGTACCAAAAAATTTTATAAAATAAAAAATTAAGAGTATAAGAGCACAATGAATGAATAGTATTCAAAAATATAACTGCCCACAAGAATCAACAGAAAAGTCTGTAATAAAGCCTGTCTCTGAATATGAATTTTAGGTTCATTTTTCTTATCCATCTAAGGAAGAAATATTTTGTAATAATTTTTTTTGAGTCAGTCTTGCTGTGTTGCCCAAACACCTGGATTCAAAGAATCCTCCTGGCTAGATGTGGTGGCTCATGCCTGTAATCCCAGTGGCTTGGGAGGCTGAGGCAGGAGGATTGTGAGTTAAAAGCCAGCCTCAGCAATTTAGTGAGGCCCTAAACAACTTAGCGAGACCCTGTCTCAAAATAAAATATAAAAAGGGCTGGAGATGTAGCTCAGTAATTAAGCACCCGTGGGTTCAATTCTTGGTACCAAAAACTACTCCTGCCTCAGGTTCCCTAGCAGCTGGGACTATAGTTACATAGTCACATACCACCATGTCCAGGTGTAATAAGTTCTTATTATAAAAATTATATATATGTATTGTAGAAAAATCAGGAAAAAAAGGATAAGGAATTCTTACAATCCCAACTACCACACCTATAAATATTTTGGCATCTACCTTCTAGATCTTTTTCTATTAAATTGCTCATTTTTAGTCTTATTCAAATAAAGATAATAAATATTTATTGGCCATCAATAAAACTGGTTCAGCCCTCCTGAAAAACATAATATATACAAAGTTCCTGCCCTCAAAGAGCTTAGAAACTAGAAGACATGATATCAAAGTTTATGTTTATATGATACTTATGTAATCAGAATTGTTCTAAATATTTTACATGTATTAAATCATTTAATCCTCATAAGCAGCCATAAAATAGGTATGAAAAAAATAGTATCCCTATTTACAGATGAGAGAGCAGAGTGCAGAAAGGTAAAGTAATCATCCTAAGATCACAGAGCTAGTAAAGGGCAGCACTGAGATTTAAACACAGGCAGACTGGTTCTGGAGTCCTGGCTTTTAACCCATTCTGCCATGATGCCTCTTAATCACAGAATAATAGTGCAATAGAAGACTTGCAGCTCATGAGATAAAAAACAAGTCTTGAGTTCTACTTCACTAGCAGGCAAACAGACAATAGATCCTACATAAATTTCAAGGCAGGAGAGGTCCTTCTGGGATGGGACAGACAGAAAAGTCTTTGGATCTTAAAAGCATGTATAGATTAAAGAAAGAGAGGATAGGGTTCAAGCACAGGGACAACATAGGTCAAAGTGTAAGTATAGAGTATGCTTACAGGACAGGGAAGAAACCAACTTGGCTGAGGATGGGGACAAATGGGCTGTACCACTGTATACATATACAGTGCTTTGTTCAAACTTACCCCACTTTATTTTATGTTTTTGGTGGTGTTGGGGATTGAACCCAAGGCCTCGTGCATTCGAGGCAAGTACCCTATCAACTGGGCTATATCCTCAGCTCCCCACTTTATTTATTTTTATTATTTTTTTTAATATTTATTTTTTAGTTGTAGTTGAACACAATATCTTTATTTTTATGTGGTGCTGAGGATCGAACCCAGGGCCTTGCATGTGCTAAAGGCGAGTGCTCTACTGCTGAGCCACAATCCCAGAACCCCCAATTTATTTTAAAAAGCATAAAATCAGGACTGGGGTTGTGGCTCAGTGACAGAGCACTTGCCTCACACATATGAGGCACTGAATTCAATCCTCAGCACCACATAAAGATAAATAAACAAAATAAAAATATTGTGTCCAAGTATAACTAAAAAAAAAAAATTAAAAGACATAAAATAATTTTCTATCTCTGAATTTAGATAAAATATTAGCTATGATTTAAATTATTAAGAAGTTTAAGTTCCAAGGAAAATGCTGTATATGCAGATACTTTCTGTCCCATATAAATTTTATCACTTTTAAAATCAGTGTAGTTGTAAGAGGACCAGGAGTTGAATTTGTGTCCTACTTAGGTAAACACAGTAATACCTAATTTGATTTGTGATGTCTGCTAAAAAGTAAGAAAACGTACATAAAATGCATCACTGTTAATTATACTGGGTTCACAGAATGTCACATACCTATTTCTTGATGACTTGGCATATGATTAAAAAGACCATTACATGCTGTACTTTGAGTCAACGATGCCCCCTAGGGACATCAAGGAACCAAGGTGATTTTTCCTTACATTACATAGCCTCAGCTTGCTGTGCTCTTAGTTTCTTTGTACATTTTATGGACTTCCTGCTGTTTTCCTCTTTCAAAACCTGTCAGGGGTCTACCACGAAAAACCTCTCTTCTAGTTTCAAGTGTCCAAGCTGCAATATTTGAAGACCAAATAATCCAGATGGTAGGACTTTTGCAAAGTAAAAGGAATATTATTTGAGAGGTGGTCCAATGATTTCTACTTGTTCTAGGAACAAGTATATACGCCAAAATATATAAATTTGACAATAGCAAAGCTATGAAACCAACATAGGTGCCCTGCAACAGATGAAGGGATAAAGAAAATGTTACACACACACGAATATTACTCAATCATAAAGAAGAATGAAATTATGGCATTTGCTGGAAAATTGATACAACTAGAGACTATTGTGCTAAATGAAATTAGCCAGTTCCAAAAAAACCAAAGGCTCAATGTTGTCTCTGATATGTGGATGCTAACACATAAGGGGGATTCGGGTGGGAAAAGAAGTTCATTGGATTAGACAAAGGGGAATGAAGGGAAGGGAAAAGGGATAGGAATAGGAAAGACAGTAGATGAATTGGTCATAACTTTCCTATGTTCACATATGAACACACTACCAGTGAAACTCCACATCATGTAAAACTATAATGGGATCCTAATTAGAATAAGTCATACTCCATGTGTGTACAATATGTCAGAATACACTCTACTGTATGTGTATCTAAAAAGAACAACAATAACAAAAATATACGAATTTGAAACAATTATTGGTCTCAGGGACAGCATAGTAGAGTACTCAAGAATATGGAGATTGTGTGATGACTGCATATAGTCCCAGTTATGTGGGAGGCTGAAGCAGGAGCACTGTTTGAGCCCAGAAGTTGATGAACAGCCTGGGCAACAGCAGACCCCAACTCCAAAAAAAGGAAAAAAGGAGGGCGGGGGACGGATTCTGAGAGTGTAGCTCAGGGGTATAGCACTTGCCTGGTTGGGTTTAATCTCCAGAATTGTGAGTGGGGAGGAGGTGAAAAATAAGGACTTTAGAGTCAAGATGCATGGATTCAAATTCTGCCTCCGCCAATTAACTGTGGGATCTCAGGTCAGTTACATAATAACTCTTTTGTCTCTAGTTTCCCGGAGTAAAAATAGTTAATACTAGTATTAACCTCACAAAGTTATGAAGTGTAAATAAGTTAACATTTGCAAAGTGCCTGAATAATGCCTGGAAAAGATGAAGGGTTAGTAAGTATTTGGTAAGTTAACACCACCAACAAAAAAGACGTTCCTACTAACTGTTTCAAAGGTTAAAGCTGTTAGAAGTGAAAGTTCCTGATAAGTAAGGTATTATGGACTGTTTGTTTCCTCCCAAACTTTGCATAATGAAATCTGAATTGTGATAGTATTAGGAGGTGACTAAGTCATCTCACTGATCCTCACAAAGGGGATTAATGCTCTTAGGAGAAGAGACAAAAGAGTTTGCTTCTCCTCTCTTTCCCTCTGGTGAGGATGTAAGGAGAAGACTGCCTTCTGTAAACAGAGGGCCTTATTACCAAGACCCCAACTGAGCTGGTACCCTAACCTCAGACTTCCAGTCTCCAGAACTGTGAGAAAAAAATGTTGGTTGTTTAAGCTACACAGTCCATATTTTTGTAATAGCAGCCTGAACTAAGACAATGGTGATTATATTTTCTAACTTAAATGTCCTCAAAGTACATATACTTTTGATCTACCAATTCTCCTAAGACTCTATTCCATAGAGGGAAAATAAAAAGTATCAGGACACACAACGCATGTATAAGAATGTTTATTAAAATGTTGTTCATAGTGGTCAAGGACTAGGAAAAAAAAATTGAATACCTAAAAGGGATTATTTATACAGACACTAAAAAGTATAATTTGGAGAGATTTTCATGGTATTGTTAAGAAAAGCATGTGCAGGGGCTGGAGGTATAGTTCATTAAGACAGCGCATGCTTCAGCTAGTTCAATCTCCGAAACCTGTATGATCCCACGTTTGTCAAAAATACAATATGTGTGCATTGTATCTTTTTTTTTTTAAATATTTTTCAGTTCTAAATGGATTATTTATTTATTTGTGGTGCTGAGGATCGATCCCAGGGCCTCACGCATGCCAGGCAAGTGCTCTACCACTGAGCCACAACTCCAGCCCCTGTACTGTATCTTTAAATGGGTATATGTAACAAGGAGAAAGATATTAAAGAACACTAGGGGTACACATGGGGAATGGGATATTGAAGTGTACATGGATAGGAGGGACAGGGAAAAGGAATTCAGGATAAAAACAGCATATGATATGATTCTATTAGATAAAATTACACACACACACATACACATGTGTAAATTAAGAGAGATAGACAGACCGACCGACAGACACAGAGAGACAGAGAGACAGACCTGTGAAATGGTCATTGTCAAAATGGTAACTAAATATCTTAGTGTGGCGGGACATCAGAGAGCTTCCACTTTCTCCATATTTTTTTTTATAAGTTCAAAATCCACAACATAACCATGTACTTTTTATATATGTGAAAAAATCTTGGGGGTGCTGGGGTTGTGGTTCAGTAGTAGAGTGCTTGCCTGGCACAAGTGAGGCACGAGGTTCGATCCTCAGCACATTAAAAAATAAATAAATAAATAATAAATGAATATATATATATATATATATATATATTACTGAAGGTTAAACCTAGGAGTGCTCTACCTCTGAACTACATCACTAGCTCTTGTTTTTGAAACAGGGTCTCACTTAGTTGCCCAGGATGGCCTTGAACTTGCAATCCTCCTGCCTAAGCCTCCTGAGTTGCTGGGAATACAGGTGAGTAACACCATAACCAGCTAAGTACATACTATTTATATAAAAAGAAAGCCAATAAAATTAAATGCCCAAATTATTTGTTGGCTATAATCTGGCATGGTCAGAACAGTAACCAGGCATAAGATCTGTACTGTAGTCCTGGTTTTGCCATTGACTGGCTGCTGGACCTTGGAAGGTCCCTTTACCTTTTCTGCCTCAATTCTGTTGTCTGGAAAATAATCCTTACCTTACCTTCCTTAAAAAAGGGTAATTATGAAGATTAAACATGAGAATGGATTTGAGATAGTGCTCTGAAACTAAAAAAAATACATTAAAAACGAAGATATTATTATTACACTGTTTCTTAGGCACTGAAACAGCTAGAACTTACCAAAGCAGAAGGTGACCAGGGACCAAATATTCCTCCCTCTCCAAACACTGGCTCAAAGAAGGGCACAACAACCAGCAACATGGCAGATGACATTGGAGCCTGGTAGTACAGCAGCTGCATTGAATTTACTTGTAATTCATGCTGTTTGGCTCCTACCCACTGAAAATTAGGAGATAAACAGGTCAGGCACAAGAGAAAACCATCACTTAATCAACGATGCAACTCTAGCCACACAGACAGAAACATGGGGTACAGGCTGGGGGAGAGGAAATTCCTAATTATTCTACAAGATTTCCAAGACCAGTAGGATATCTGAATGCTCTTTAATTACCACAGATGAAAAGAGTTCTACAAATTCATTTTCTGATAAACTATTTTCCTCTCCATTCTTTACAAGGAAGAAAAACCCTTTCTATCTTCCTGATCCTATTAAATAGGGATAAGTAAATGGATATAGGAAACCATATACATCAGAGATTTTTTTCTAAGGCAGGAGTAGAAATTTAGGGGATAAACAGGAATATAGATGCAATGACAGACCTCATTTCTTCCTAAAAATGGCCCAAATAAAAAATTTTAAAAGGAAGATGGGGCACAGGGCAGTTCAGAGTCTAGGAGATTAACCCTGGTTATTCCAGTTGGCTGCCAAAGTGTGTGGTCTTTTCAGTCACTTCAGAAAATCCAATCAATGGCAGAAGAAAGTTTCCTCTCTTTGGATGACTTTTCTGTGGGTAGTATCCCCGCTGCCCCATTTGACCCAGGTACACTGGATAATCACAAACCCCCAAATACTGTCATTCAGTAGAAATAAAACCTCAAAACCTCAAATCCCAACAGGCCTCAAAGTGCTTCACAAATAGGACTGAAAAGGAGGCTTTGAAGAATGCTCAGTAAAACTGAATAAGATCTGGAAAGAACAGCAAGGCTTCTGAATGACTTCTACAAGCTTTTCTCCTGTAGGTCTGGGTACCTTGTTACATAAATTCTCAGTCTATAGAAATTCAGCGAGACAAAAATAGAAGAGCAGGAAATTTGAGCCATATTCCTGCCAGTTTTAACTAAGAGTCATCTGTGAATATGAAGGACAAAGAATTGATTCTTCTGCTGCCAGCTACTGGGGGCACAGCAGTGAGCAAACATGGAGGGATGTAGAGAATGCAACTTTCCTTTCCCAGGCTCACTAGGCTCACATCCAGCCTCCACCTCTGCCACAGGACTGCCTGGAATGGTGGGCCTTGCTGTCCCTCACTGCAGTGCAGCCTGGCTTCTGTCCACAACCCCTCTATTGGCCTCCCAAAGGGCACCATCTCCTTTGACGGCCTCATCCAAAGGATACCCTGAACTAATCTTTTTTCCTATCTGCTGACGTCTTCAGCTCTGACCTCCTTCCTCTCACCTCCCACTCCTCCCACTCACCCCACAGTGCTGGCGTGGAACCCAGGGCCTCACACACGATTGGCAAGTGCTCTACCACACCCAGAGCAAGAGTTACACTCCCGGCTTTCCTTGAGTATTTTTACCCTAGCACCTTCCACAACTTTCTGGCCATTTTTACTTAGCCTGCAGGAATTTCTTTAAAATCAAGTTGCTTCCTTCCTTCCTTCCACCAAGGAGCTCCTCTTGTGTCACCTCAATAATAAATGCCATCATCTCCCCCAAGGATCCTACTCCTTACTTTCCTCACTCTCACATTTAATCAGACCCCACTGGTTCTTCCTCCCAAAGGTCTCTGGAGTATCTTTCAGCTTCCCATTGCCTGGCCCAGGCCATTCCTGCCTTCCCCTAGAAGCATGGATAGGTTCCTAACTGCTGTCACCCTTTCTCACTTCCCTTAAGTACCCTTCATTGCCACCAGTGATTTTTCTTAAACAAAGGGCATGATCAAGCCACTCCCCTACCTAAACTCCTTTACGTGGTGCCTGCAGAATGAAGACACTTTTTTAGCATGACAGGAGACTGCCATCTGGTATCACCCACTGCTTGGCTTCTTCTTTCCATAGTATACTTACAGTCTAACCTCACTAAGCAAATCAGGTTCTCCCAAAGGGCTCTGTACTTTCACACATACTTCAAGGAAAGACCTATTATATTTCACTGCTGAGCAAATTCCTGTGCATCCTTCAATTTAAATTGTTAACTTTCCCTCAGGTCTTGCCTCATCACCCTGGATGGAGGGCTGCCATTTCTTCCTTGGTCTTCTTCAAGACTTGGCTCACACGCTGAAGTGACCAGCTGTCTACACATGTTTCTACAGTGATGGAGTATAGCTGATGCTCATCTTTGTATCCTTAAGGATGAATATAAAGCAGAAAAGATGTCTGCTGAGTGAATGAGTCAACTATTTTGTACAATTGAAGTTTACAGCTCATCACTCTTCTTTCAATTCCTTTTAATTACCCCAGCAGTAGAAGAAGAAATAACTTAGAACACACTGGGATATAATGGGCAGATACAGATTTCTTTAAAAGGGATTTAAAAAAAAAAAAATCTTTGTATTCCATTATATTACTTCTACTATTTACTGATAATAGAACATTTGCACATTTACAACCCCTCTTGGTCAATCTCATCTCAAATATCTACCTTAGAGATATAGAACCCTTGATTCTAATCTACAGTAGCTTTGAAACTTCTGTGAACAAAAATGGTCATACTGACATAATGAGTACTCTGTATTGAAATTATGTGTAAGTACAAGAAATTCTAATATTCAACAGATACAACTTCTTGCTATTTTAGTGAATATTTAATCCATACATTTTGTTAAATGCAAAATATGCATTTAATAAAAATAAATAGTAATATTCACTATGCCTAGTAACAAAATTTAAACTCACTGAAGTGTACCCAAATACGATTTTTTAATTAACAAAGCTAAATTTCTTTAATCTTTAGATCATTCTCTGTAGTAAAACAGCATATCATGGAGCCAAGTAACAAAACTGAGTGAGTGCTTCATCCTTTCATGACACTGGTCTCATCTTTCGTTTAAACTGCTTCTCTGCTACTAAAAAATGTATTCGTGACTGTACTATTTTTTCATGACAATGTTGCTGAAATGATCGTTACCAGAGAATTTAAGATGCTAGGGCTGCAATACTGAACTCCTAACATTCCCAACAAGAATGCCTCCGTTTATAACCAGTGGATGTCTGTGAAAAAAATAAAATTGGTTACACATTTTGGCTTTGATTCCCCATGCAGGCACACCCAGAAATTCCAAACCAAGGTTTTCAGTATAGAGAGAATACTGTTTCACTGCACCTTATACCATGTTCTTTTTCACCACTATATGAGAAACAAAATGACCTTGTTGGGATTTTATAGTAATAAAGTAAATGGATCCATGAACAAATTTTTAAGAATGCTGTCACAGGCAAGACACTGTGCTTGAACAAGAAGTGAGATACCCATTTCTACAAAAAACTCAATTGATATAAATAAATTATTAAAAGCCAATATATAGCAACATATTTTTTGAGGCAAAAAAAACCCCAAAAAACTATGAAAGCAAAAATTTCCTTTCCTGTTCAGATGTCTGGAAGTGCACTCACTTCTTCACAGCAACTTTAAAATTAAAGGGTAAATAATAACATAACTAATGAATTCAGAAAGTAAAATCTTAAAATATTTTTTTTTGTAGTTGTAGATGGACAGAATGCCTTTGATTTCATAATTTTTACGTGGTGCCGAGGACTGAACTCAGTGCCTCGTGCATGCTAGGCCAGCACTTTGCCACTGAGCTACAGCCCCAGCCCACTAAAATAAAGTCTTACTTCTAGTTTTGTAAAGATTTCCCAGAAAATAACATAACTTCATCCCAAACTCACACTCTTAAGCATGGATATTATACACTTACAAACAGGTATTTGGTGAGCATCACACACCCAAGTTTCTCTGTTTTCTTCTCTTCACCTTGAGTCAATTTATGCAATTATGGTTTCTTCCCAACAGTCTATTGTCTCTATACTGTATTTTCTAAACCTTGGGATACAGCTTCAAAACTTATGACATCTGCTAAAAAGGCACATAAAGGAAAAAAAAAATTACCAACCACTTGATAAAGGGATGTAACTAAAACACCAAGAGCAGCAAACACCATTCCAAGGAAATTAAACTTCACATCGTAATAAGAATTTAGGATTACACCTAAAGTTATAGGAATCTGTAAAGAAAAAGAGGTAAAATTCTGTTCAGATTAAATTCAAGAAACAAATTTAATATTCCTTTCACAGTGTCTTACAAGGCTAATAATCATAAACACATATCTGGGAAGCAACAAATCTATAATTTTTTTTTCACTTGTGAAAATTGTTCATTCTTTTTCTTACATGTGAAATATTATAATTCCATATTGATGCTCACATTTTGTTCTATTTTGAATTTGGGGTAAAATAATGAGTCTATGCATTGTGTTTTGCAAGAAATTACTGCATGCATGCATGCACAGGTAAGTAAATGGAACACAAAAGTAATGCCTAAACAACATGTAACTGTCACAATAAAAGCATTAAGATCTTAAATATTAAAAGTTACTAAGTGCTGATATTATTCTACTGAATCTCCTTTCATTTAAAGATGCAGATGCCTCTGCAGTATGTCCTTGCAGACATATTCTGAGACATTTTTTTCTAGACTTTTCACATTCATCATCTGTGGTTTGATTCCCTTGGGGAGAAGGGTTTCTCAGTTTGAGCTTGTACAGATATCCTGATACACTGAACTGCACCCCTCTTTACAGCTTTCTTTTCTTTCCAATCACAGAATTTGAAGATTCCATTAAACAGTAGTTGCTAAAACCCACACTAGCACACTCTTCTGGACTAAGAGCCCAACAAAGGCTTTCTTACCCCTGCATTCCCAAATAAACCCTAAGTTCACATGCTCATAGAACATGACTCATTTAATTCAAGAAGATGGGAAAGAGCGTGACGCAGGTTAAACAATGTACATTCAAATTTCCCGGAGAGAAAGACGTCCAGGAGGTGGGGTCCAGGAGGTAAGTGTTTAGGGATGTGTGTCGGACAGCTGGAGTTACTCACCAGCGTGAGCTTTATCCTTGTGGAGAAGCTTTTCTGGTAGCAGAAGGTCTGGATGGCTATGATCACCGGCGTTGTCATGGCCTTGGCCAGCTGGTAGGTACCTATGGTGTTGTTCTGCAGAGAGAGGTTGGTGAAGACCACAAAGCCACAGAAGCTGAGGGCGAGGAGGAGGAGTTTGGTGGGAGGCAGAGTTTTGGGAGCAAAGATGTCCAGCTTCTGGCAGATGTACAAGCCCAGCCAAGTAACCATGAAGTGCACCAGGGTCAGGCTTATGTTGGGAAAGCCGTGATGCACATAGATCCATTTATTGAGGAACACGATGCAAATGGACACTAGCAGATTAAACAGGAGCCCAGCAGCTATTCGCCCGTTGCCCCGTACTCGGTCCGCCAGCGAAGCCATGATCCCCGCCGCTGGCCGAGAGGCGACACCCGCGAAGCCGGGACCGTCCAGCTTCCGAAAGGGGTGCCCAGCCGGTCTCCGGCTGCCGTTCCCCTCCACGCCGCGTCCTCGCAGACGCCGGCCTTACGATCCAGCCAGGCATACACTAGTCGAATTCCGAGCCAGTAGAAACCTCAGCGACTCACACAAGCTCCACCGCCGCCCAGTGAGCCAGCGAGGACGCGGCAGCACGTCCCCGGCCCGCCCCACCTCCGCCCACGGCCACGTGACTCGGGGCGCCAGCGCTTCCGCTGTGCCTGAGTAGGCAGCCAGTTCTACACTGCGCAGGCGCACTGAGCTCGGAGCATGGAACCGCTGGTGTTTGGCTCCTATCTGTAGGTCCCGCGTAATATGCCCAACTCCAACCCTAACTGGCCTACTGGGACCCCTTTCTGATGGTTTCCGTGGGTCCACTGTCTAGATATGGTACGAGTGGGATGTGCAGATACTGTTGGCCAATTTTACCTATGAGGCGGATGGTGAGCAATTTCGAGTCTTCGCTTGACTTTTCTACAAAGCATATTTTAAAACGTTTTTCTTAAAATATCCGAACATACTTAAAAGTAGAGTGTGATGGCCCGTCATATACTCAGGGTAGATATAACAATATTTTGGCACATTTGCTTCAATTTTTACTCATGTATCACATCTTTTTTACCCCTGAATACTTAGGTGAGCCTAAAAGTAGGCACATTTCTCCGTATTACCACAATACTGTTTTCACTCCTGCGGCTTAACAGTAACCAGTATCAAATATCCTGTCCAAGTTTCTGGAGGTGGAGGGGATTTTAGACTTTGAGTGTATGCTACCTAATTGGTCTCTAGAAAGTTTGTGCTAATTTATATTCATGCGGCTACAGTATGGTTGATTTTCCTGATTGTGAAAAACTAGGAGTGATTTTTCAGTAATTTGATAAAAAGAAATAGTGAGAAATTGTGCTTTTAATTTGCAGGTTTTTTATTTCCAGTGACTTGAGTAGTCATAGGATTAGATGAGTTATTTGGTATATTTCCTATCTGCTCATTTTGTTTAGGGGTACTTGACTTTTTCTAATTGATGTATAGAAGGACGTTATGCTTTGGTAAGTTCTTTGCTGACTTCGCCAAAGTTATGGTTAATAAACAATTGAGAGTTTCTTCCACATTTTAAATCAGTTTTTGTATTTTATTTTTCTAGAAAACTGTCCATTTTACTTAAATATTTTACTTTTTAATTTTTTTATTTATATTTGACAGCGGGATGCATTACAATTCATATTACACATATAAAGCACACATTTTTCATATCTCTGGTTGTATACAAAGTATATTCACACCAATTAGTGTCTTCATACATGTACTTTGGATAATAATGTCCAACACATTCCACCATCATTTCTAATACCATACCCCCTCCCTTCCCCTCTCACTCTTCTGCACTATCTAGAGTTCATCTAATCCTCCCACACTCCCCCTCACTACCCCAAATAAATATTTTAATATGCTTAGAGTAGTATGTAGTATTTTACACTGTTTCACCTGTTGTCCTGTATCATTTTTATTATTATGCATTTGTCCCATGATTAGCATTGCCAGTATGTTGTATATTTCATTGGCCTCTTCTACTGGTTTTGTTCCAAGTCATTAATTTTTTTCTGGAGTCTCATAGTTTTTTTTTTGTTGTTGTTGTTGTTGTTTTGGTATTGGGGAGACTGAACCCAGGGATGCTTTACCACTGAGCCATATCCCTAACGGGTTTTTATGTTGATACAGGGTCTCACTAAGTTGCTGAGGCAGGCCTCAAAATTTGCAATCCTCTTGCCTCAGCCTCACAAGTCATTGGAATCACAATAAGATTACAAGTGTTATAGATTTAAAAAAAAATTTTTTTTTTTGGTAGTTGTAGATGAACAGAATTCCTGTATTTGTTAAGTGATGCTAAGGATTGAACCCAGTGCCTCACCATGCTAGGCAAGCATTCTGCCACTGAACCACACTCCATCCTGTAACAGATATTTTTATTTAAATGAGAAAAATTTAGAATAGCTTTGGCCACGGTCCTTAAGTCAGTGTAATATTTTCATTGTCCTTAATTTCTAAGTAGTTTGATGGAAGGTTTTATATTTCTCCTTTGTTGTAAAAATTATTCAAATATTTATTGAACACTTGCTATGTATCAGGCAATACATCTGAACTAGACCAGACCCTCTTTCATAGAACTTAGAGAAGACTAGTATTATACGATTAGAAATTATAATGAGTGTTCTAAAATAATAAAACATAATTCTGTGAGTGTATAAGAACTTACCCTAAACTTGGGGAAGAAAGGTAGTCAAAGACTTCTTTAAGGAAATGGTTCTTAAACTAAGAAAAGAATGAGTAAAAGTTGATTAAGCATTGTCTAAAGTCTAGCTCTCCTAACATGCTCTTCCTGATATATTCTATTGTGTGTGCTCCTCTTTCTACATCATCAGACTTTACTAATTGTTACTGTACTTCATGCCTTTTCCATTATATATTTTATTTTCATCCTTCCTTCCAGTTTGGAACAATAGAAGCCTATCTGACTAATGATTTACAAGGCTTACCTTACCTATTCCTTTAAGAGCGCAAAGGAACTCTATTTAGTTGCTTCAATTCACTCTTTTTGTGATTATAGATTTGGGCGAATAATCTTAGCATGTCTGACAAATTATATTTTTGTAATCCCTTATTTCTGATATTTGAAACTACACACTTATGATTTGGATATGAGATGTTACCACAAAAACTCTGTGTTAGGCAATGCAAGAATGTTTGAAGGTGAAATAACTAAAAGATTATGAGAGATATAACCTGAACAGTGGATAAAAGCCATTTGATAGATAAATAATTTGAATAGATAACTGGTGGGAACTGCAGGCAGGTTGGATGTAACTGGAAGAAGTAGGCCTGGGGGCATACCTTGGGGATTATATTTTGTCCCTGGCTCCTTGAGTTCTTTCTCTCTCTTTCTCTCCTTCCTGGTTGCTATGAGCTGAGTAGCTTTCCTCCACCCTGCCTTTCAGCCATAATATTCTGCCTTACCTCAGGCAGACAGCCGTGGAGTCAGCCAACTGAAATTCCAAGCCAAAATAACTTTTCCTCCTCTAAGTTATTCTTACCAGGTATTTCAGTCACAGCAATAAAAAGCTGACTAACATTCCTGGCTTAACATTGATTGTTTCAATGTAAATCATTTGACATTTGAAGATCCAGAAGTGGTAACACAAGTAGAAACTATACTTCAGATTTAATCTCTAGCAGTATGTGATACAATACTCTCCCATCATGCTGAGCAATAGCACAGCCCTATAGCCCTCAGTCAGCCAGGCAGTCATAAGTGTGAACAACTGATATTCTGCAGTGTACCATGATGCTAAGCAATGATGTCCAGTAGCTCTGTATTAAATGCATTTTAAACTTAAGGTATTTTTAATTTATGAAACTTTATTGGGATGTAACCCCCTCCTAAATTAAGAAGAATCTGTAGTTAAAATATGCACTCTGAGGGCTGGGGTTGTGGCTCAGTGGCAGAGTGCCTGCCTCGCACATGTGGGGCACTGGGTTCAATCCTCAGCACCACATAAAAATAAACAAACAAAATAAAGATATTGCATCCATCTATAACTAAAAAATATGCACTCTGAAATTTGGGTTAAAGGATAAATATATTAGGACTGAGGATGCAGCTCTTAGCATGTGCCAGGTCCTGGGTTAGATTCCCAGCACCATAAAAAAACAAAGAGCTAAACTACAGTGGATCTCAACTGACTTATATTTACCAACCTTGTTACTAAAAGCCTTCCTGAGTCTAACCCTATCTGTGTTAGTTTTGTCAATGGGACAAAAATACTTGAAGAAATAACTTATGAGTAGCAAAGATTTTGGTTCATAGTTTCAGACATTTCAGCCCATTGGTCACTTGTCCTTATGGTGGCACAGCACATTATAGCAGGAGCATGTTGCAGAGCAAAGCTTTCACGTCATGGTGGGCAGGAAGCAAAAAGAAGTAAGGGGTCAGGGTCCCAATACCCACTTTGTGTGCATGCCCCAGTGACCCAATTTCCTTCCACTAGGCCATACTTTCACCTTTTCCCCATAGTGCCACAGGCTGGCAACCAAGTCTTTAACACATGGCCTTTGGCTGGACATTTAAGATCCAAACCATAATGTTTTTCTTTTTGGTGGTACTGGGGATTGAACCCAAGGACACTCTACCACTGAGCTATATCCCCTGCCCTTTTTTATCTTTTGAGATATGGTCTCACTAAGTTGCCCAGGCTTGCCTCCAACTTGGGATCTTCTTGCCTCAGCCTCCCAAACCACAGGGATTATATGCACCACTGTACTCTGCACCTTAACACCATTTTTGTCACCCATCCAGTTTTTCACTATTTCCGAGTCTATACTTCTTCAAGGCAATTTAGTTGGTTAATTGGCTTTATGTAAAGTGCAGGTGCCCTCATCCTAACCACAGTCCTGAAATGTGATTATTAGTCTCACTTGGTATGTCAAAATAGAGTATAATCTCACAGCTAAAATGGGATGAGACTAAAATAAAACCCAAATCTCTGGTTCTGTGGCCCACTTGTGTGTGTGTGTGTGTGTGTGTGTGTGTGTGGTGGTGGTGGGGGAGATAGGGATCTCATCATAGTTGCTTTGGCTGCCCTTGAACTCCTGAGCTCAAGCAATCCTCCTGTTTTACCCTCCGAAGTAGCTGGGACTGCAGATAGGCAGCACTGTACCCAGCTTTATTAGTTTTTGTTGTGTGTGTGTTGGGTTTGAACCCAGGTGCATTTTATCACTAATCTACATTTCTAGTTCTCCCTTGCCCCTAGAGGCAAGATCTTGTGCTAATTTAATTAGCCTCCTGCTTCAGTCTCCCAAGAAGCTGGGATTATAGGTGTATACTACCATGTCTAACTACATTTGAGTTGTCTTTCCATTTGATTTTTAAATTTTTTTTAATTGTAGATGGACACAATATCTTTATTTTTATTTATTTTTATGTGGTGCTCAGGATCGAACCTAGGGCCTCACACGTGCGAGGCAAATGCTCTACCACTGAGCTACAACCCCTAGCTGCCCATTTGATTGTTCAAAGATAAATTTACACTTAAATGTGTAAAGCATAACTGTATTGGGTTGGTGGGGTTCC